CCAGACAAATAGCTGTTCAGTCTCTTCTTAAAATCCTCCAGTGATGGAGCACCCACAAATTCATTGGTTAATTCAGGGGTCGGCAACCTAAACACTCAAAGAGCCACAAAGGTCCTAACCAGAAGCCCCACCCCAATTCAATTCTGGAGCTGACCAGACTGTATGGCAGTTCCCCCACCATAGTCTCCTACTAGTACGGCATCCTTTTTCCTCTACCTGTCCTAACTAAAAGCCCCATCAATTGTGGAGCTGACTGGCAACAGGGAGCTGCAACAGAGGGATGAAAGAGCCACATGTGGCTCCAGAGCCGCAGGTTGCCAACTCCTGGGTTAACTGTTCTCACTGTCAAAAAAATTTCTCCATAGTTCTAGATTAGTTCTGTCCTGGATTAGTTTCTTTAGTACAGAAGTGGCCAAGGATACACAGGGATGTCCTGTTTTCATTGTCATCCATTTGAGCCTAATCTTACTTATGAACTCTCAGCATCGCATGTAGATATGAACCATAATTATGACATCATTATTTTGCTTCTAAAAGCCTCTCACCCAGTGATGCCTAACCTTTCCGTCCTTGTTTGCCAAAAGTGTGCGTGCGCACATGCATGCCAGCACTCATAAGGCAATGCACACGGGAGGCCCCATGCCCCCTGCGCATGCATGCATAACTCCTGCCTGCACGCTGCATGTCTCTGTACATGCCATGCAATTCTGCACATGCGGTGCATTTCTCCACCACCCCCAACCCCTCACATGTGTGGAAGCTACCCAATGATCAACTGCTCTGGGGCGATGGCTCACATGCTGGTGGAGATAGCTCTGCAGGCCACTTCTGGCACACGTGCCATAGGTTCACCATCACGGCTCTAACTTGTGCTGGGATAGGCTACTCAGAAGTCTGTTGCAATGATGTTAAACAATGGTTTAACCTGATACTTCTTCAGATGGAGCTATAGTTGATGACCCAGAGGGAGAAATGTTATTTCGGATGCCCTTCCAAAACCTCGAAGAAGAGAAGAAATCATGATTCTTTCTTCTCTTCTCCTGTGATTGGATGCTGCTTCTATGTTTGTTTGGTTTGTGTGTGTGTGTGTGTGTGTGCCTGCTTTGTTGTCAGCCTTGTTGTTTGTTGTTGTTGCTGGGTTGCTGAGATGTTGAAGCATTAATGTACCTTATCTTCTATGATTTATAATAGGGAACTTTCAGGAGAAAGGGAGATTATATGCAGCCTGGAAGTGAAGAGAAAGTTACAAGATAAAAACCCTTGTTCTAGCCACGTTCAAGCATTAACTGGATTTGCACAATTATTAGTAAGCTGGAACCGTGGTTTAAACAATGGGCTGGCTTTGGACAATTGCGTTTTTTTCTCCCTCCCTCTCCCTCCCAAATTAGAATTTAAAAATTGTGACAAAAATGTTTGATTATTATGCAGAGCTAGTGTTAGTCTCTATTATATAACCTTATTAATATCAGCTTCTTTTTAGCATAATAAGAGACCATACCATACAACCACCTAAAAATACAAGTCTTTGCTTTGAGGTTTTATGTTCAGGAAATAATTCATACCATACCATCAATGGCAACCAAATTATAAATCCATAATTTGAACCATATTTAAAATTAGAGGGTTTTGTTTTAAAAAAAAACAGAAACATGAAACAAAAACATACAATCCCTCCTCTCCTAAAATTATTATAGTTGCTACTGAGTGTGTATGAATAAACATATAATTTTGTTTGAAAAAAATAATATCCAGGACGAATATTCTGTTCCTTTCTGTTCCCTTTGTTTATTTCAATAACAACGATCGTCTTCAAAACTATGAATTAGCAATTGGCTAATAAGCACGAGAAACAGTGCAAACTTCTGTAAAATATTGTAACAACTTTTTTAAAAATAAATGATATAAACCTCAAAAAAAAAATTGTACCTCAAGGCAAAACTGTAGATTCTCCAAAGTGTAAATTATAGTCTAAAATGCCACAAATACACAGTATGCTATAATGGAAGGAGAGGAGGAGAAGGAGGGAGAAGAAGAGGAGGAGGAAGAGAAGAAGGGAGAGGAGGTAGAGAAACAAGAGGAGGAGGAGGAGGGGGAGGAAGAAGAAGGAGAAGGAGAAGGAGAAGGAGAAGGAGAAGGAGAAGGAGAAGAAGAAGAAGAAGAAGAAGAAGAAGAAGAAGAAGAAGAAGAAGAAGAAGAAGAAGAAGAAGAAGAAGAAGAAGAAGAAGAAGAAGAAGAAGAAGAAGAAGAAGAAGAATTAAATAATAGAATCTTACAAATTATTCTCACAGATTTAAAGCAAATCCAGATTTGAAAATAAGAAGATACTGATGGAAGAAGAAAAATATTTGGGGGGGTCCAAGTCCACCCTTGAGTTAATAAAACCTAAAATGCTAGTCTTTAATTGTGAAATTTATCATTATATGTCTGTTTACTCAGGACTAAACCTTATCAAACTCAAAAGTTATTTCAAGTCCCTATGAGTAAAATGCCCAATTCCTAGAGTTTCCCCCCACTCACTCACCCACCCACCCACCCAAACTGATCAGTTGGCATCCCTTGCCCCTTCCTGCAAAGAGAACTTTCTCATGAATTGCATTTGCATGAACAAGAATAATAATAATAAAAATTCCTTGGAAAGATCATATCAATGGGGCGGGGGAACGGATACAAAACAATGTGGAGTGTTATAACAAAGTGGCTTGGGATACATCAGTAAGGTTTCCCCCTGGATTATTTTACCAGACCATGTGCATGCTTTAATTGGAATATTGGTTTAATGGCTTAATTAATTAACTAAAGGAAGGATCACTTCTAATCAACAGGACTGCAAATTCAGGACACCCATGTTTGGAAGGCAGTGTCATGGAAGCATTTCCATTCTCTTCCGCATGTTAAAAATGAAGGGGTTTTTTTTCCCCTTTCCTTTTGAATTTTGGAGAATTATGCTGGATGGAAAGACAGCTGATTAGCCGATTCAGGATTCTGCAACTGTTTGATAGCATGCATGAAGTTTATCAAGTGGATCTAAACTGGAGGCTATACAAGAGAGTGGACGGCAGAACGCCTGTGAAACAAAATCCCCAAATTATAAGGGAAAAAAATATATATCAGGAATGTTTCAACCTTTTTTTCCCCTTTCAAAATGTGGATCGTTAGAAACTTTTCAAGGCATTTCCCCTCTTCATTACTGTGCCTGATGTTCTTAAATATATTTCTCTTCACTGGATACCAACAGGCAAATATTGCTCCAGTTTAGCTCTGAAAGCAAGAGGACAAGACAGAAAATAAATATCACTAAGGAAATGATATGAAAGTGAGCATTAGCAGAAGGCTAGTAAGAGGGGGAAAAGTGTTTGGAGAAGGCAAATAAGAAGACAGGGAGGGAATTAGGGATAAGTGAATTCTTTTAACTTCCCCTTCCAGCCAGGTCTTTAACAGTGTTTATGACTAGCTGATCTTCATTCATTTGAAGGAGTCTCAAAAGAGGCACTTTAAATGTTTGCAAGGATATGCCAAACGCTTTCAGGAAAAAAGAAGTGAGGATGTAGTAATCATTACAGGAGTACATAATGTAGTATGGGTTAATGTTGGGTTGTTGTTGTTTTTTAAAACCATCTTCTACACTCCTGCAAACTCAGAGTGGGCTTTTCTTAGGATCTTCTTTTTTTTTTTTAAGGTCCTCTTTTGAATTCTCCCTCTTAAGTAGATAATACTTAACAGAAGTCATCGGAAACAATGGAGCTGCCTGTTTAATTAACGTGGGCTCCTATTTGCTTAATATTAACTAGGAAGGATGATATGTGCAGAAGAGCTAAAGGCAATTTGGAGTTCCAAAATAATTTTTAAAAGAAGCATGTTCCCTATGTTTGTTTTAATGCTTTTTTTTTAATCTTTCATTTGGGATCTGACAAAAAGAGGGGGAAGGTGGAAATGGGGAGAAAGAGAAAATGCCATCACTAAAAGAGACTGTAATTGCACTCCTTAATTATTGTCAGATTACTGGGGGAAATATGTGGTGTTTTTTTTTAAACAGTCATTGTAATTATTTTGGGTTTTGTTTTCCAAACAGCTTTTTTTCAAGTCATGTTTTCTTGACATGTTGCTGTCCAAAATAGGAAACCTGAATACACCTATCTATCCAGAAGTGTATAGGATATATGCATATACACACACACACATTTTATTTACAACGGGTGTGCAATTCTGTGTTGATTTCTGTCTGTCTTCTCAGTTGGGAAACAAACCTATTAAAATATGCAAATGAGAATTTTTTTTCTGCTGGAGGTTTTTTTTTTTTAGGGGCCATGTTTTTAAATTGATTTTTGGTAGCATAGACCTGCTGGATTAAAATATGTTTCCTGCTCGTTTAATGAAATGGCAATCCAGCAATTAATTCTGGAATTAGAATAGTTAAACTACTCTACAAATATTATTCAAAGCAGGTAAATGTTTACATACTCTTATAATGGGGTGCACATTCATACACACAGTTGAAAAATGGGGAAACTGCAACCACACAGAATAATCAATATCCTGTTTTTATTTAAACCATAAACACACACACACACACACACACACAGAGAGAGAGAGAGAGAGAGAGAGAGAGAGAGAGTCCTGTCTTGTCCTGTTCTTGCATTCACATCTCCATCCTTCAACTATCTGTTCAATGCAGTTCTGCTCAGAGAATGCAAGCCTTAATAAAATTCGTTGCTTGAATCGTCCTTGTGCCTGGTCCAAAGATTTATTTTATCCCTGGTCCAAAGAATTAAGCAAAAAGGTATTAGACTACAGGAGAAATGGACAACATGCCTCTTCTTCCTCGTCCCCTTTAAACAAACAGTTGGTCTGATCACACTGCAATATTCCTAGGAAGAAAGTTGCCCACTCAAGAAGTAAGTTGCTTGAATTACAGTTACCCGGAAGTAAGAGGTATCTTAGTTGAATTGGGGAATCTGTGGTTTATTTTAGCCTAACAAACAAGGAGAAGCAAAGCAGTTTACCTCAAGGTGCCGTTGGAAAGCTTTCTTTCTCTTTCTTTCTTTCTTTCTTTCTTTCTTTCTTTCTTTCTTTCTTTCT